CAGATCCATACCTAGTGAAAAATCAATTAAAACACAAGCGTAAATTTCAAAACACATATAGGTGTTAAAAAAGAACAACATTAAAATCGATTCTAATTGGATCCGGCATTAGATAAAAAAAAAAAAAACCACAAATATTAAAGATTCACCTGATTTAAATATTACCAAACATTTGACTTGTAAATTTTGAGCTTGAATTAAAGAAAAAATGACAGCCAACTCCCACCCTAGAAGTAAGTCTAAATACGCCCCTCGAGTGTCGAGGGAGTGGTGTGCTTTCTTTAATCTTCTCTTTAATCTGAGTCGTAGCAAATCAATTATTACTCTTCCTCCAAAAAAAAAAAAATGACACTGCTGTCTGGATTTGGAAGCCACCGCGATTCCAACGCTCCGTTTCACCGAAGAAAATAATTATTCACGAGATCAAAAAAAAAAAACTATGATCGGATGGTTAGATGTCCTGACGTAACTTGGGAGACGCTTATCCACTTGTGCCCACTCCCAAGTACATCATATAACCGTTTCGTGTTCAATATGCTTTTGCGCAAAATACGATTTCTTTTTTAAAGACTTCAAACGAGCACACGTATGTCATTGTGTACATCATATTCATGTACGGAACATAACGCGCACGACCGCCGACCACAGCGGTGCATCGTGTGCGCTTATATAGGTACACAGCGTATGAAAACTAATTAATTTTCACAAAGCTTTGTGACCGTGTACGTTATAATATCAAAGACAAGGTCGTGCATAGTTTCGTCGTCGTATAACATTATATCCGTATACGGATTGTTTGTTCTTTTAAAAGTGTACGCAAATTGTACGTACACCCTGTACGTGTGTACTCGGCGGACTAAACTTGAAATGACGCGTTTTCATATCTAAGTATGTTCAAGTATATATAACGCTTAACCGAATTTACTCGGGTTACGATAAAAATAATATTGCACTTTCTACGCGTTAGATTGGTATATGTTTGGCAAACGTTTAAATAACGATCGCAATAAATGTCTGAATTTGAAATTAATACTATTGTGCAAGTACAATACCAGCCCCGTTGAAAAGTTCACGCAGCTGTCTGCGGACCACCACATCATGTGTGTAATAATTCAAAACCATTTCGATGTGACTGTACGTTCAGTCGTTGACAGGGAAATAATGGAGTCTCCTCTTTTATTATTTTTTTGCCAAGATGGTGGCGCGGACTACAAACAAGTGCGTCTGTTCTTGAAACGCGACCGCGTTACCGTTCGAAAACATACTCGTCGTTGTACTATCCAACTGTTTATCGTTATTTTATCACTATCGTTGTGTTTCAATAGCAATTTTGCATACAACAGTTTTAGCAAAAGTCACAACAACATTCGTATATAATACTTTTGCAGACGTTTAAACGGCATCTAATATTAGTACGTACACACGCACAACAATCGTGAACTCGACCCATGTCCGGACGTTGAGCCCTAAAATTATTTAAATTCCTACGTCAATTATCTAACGATTTCGACATTCGTTACGCAATCATTACGTAAGTAAAACGGTCGTCGTCGTCGTGTCGCGTGTACGGAATTCAACTGGTGCCCTCGTTAATAAACCGTCTCGTTTTGCTAATTTAAATGTTTTATAAATTAAAACGCTACATCAAACAACAATATGTGTGTGTGTGTGTGTTCGATGGGATCCGAAACAAACGGCCTCGTCTCGTCCGCGGCCCGCGAATGGTTACTTTACTTCGCAACCAAGGTATATATTTTCTTTGCAATACGTAGTCATTTTTAAACGTGCATTTCTTCGCGCGGGTTTTCTCCGATTATCGCGCTTGTAGTTCGTTCGTTCGTTCGGCTGTTGTACGCGCACTACGTGTGAACTGGAATCACTTAAATTACAGCACGCTAAGACGTGCGATTTATTATAGTATGATATAAAACCACGAACGATCTTCACGACGATTTCTGAAATTCAGGCTGTGCAGGCATGATATTCGGAGTTATATCAAAAGCAATGGTTATACCATATGAGAGTGATGGATTTCGTAAAATATTCCTGACATATACGCATTAGCGTATAGATTTAATACACAGGCTTCGTGAATGTCATTGATTTTTTTCATAAAACTGATTAGACTCAACTCGACGACTATCGTTAGAGCGGGTTTACTACAGTTTCAAATCCATATTGTTTTACATGATCGTGTATGGCAATACCGGATTTTCAATCGTTCAAATAATGACTCGGAATTATGGATTTAAAGTATTTTTTACATTTTTTTACGGCTGTACAGTTAAACAAAAAAATAAAACCCATTTTTTTAATAACAATGATTATTGAGTTGGTATCGTGAAGACCTGATTGGTTATTTGTTAATAGTTTTACTTCATTTTGTATAGAATATTACATCGATATATGGTCCAACAATTGGATTAATCGTACTTATCGTTCTTACATTTTTATGGAAGATGGTGAACTGCGGCAAAATTAAACTTTTTCTAAAAATCGATATGTAACTGTGGCAAAAAAAAATTAAGATAATACAATCTGCGACAAAACCGATAAGATACATTATAAAAACTGCAGCAATTTATTATATATACCTTCTATATATACTATATATACATATCGTTACGATAACCTATATACACGCTTATCGTTTAATTAGGAATAATATGTGTTATGACAGCTATTAGTCTAGAGTAGAGGTTCCCAACTTTTTTTTACTCACGGCACTCTTTATTATTTTCTAAAAATGTGGAGGCGCCCTATATCCTATGCCCTATACTCTATAGTTTATACTGAATACGCAATACTAATATATCGTATATTTAAATTTATATTTTATAACTTCGGTTTTATTTAACATTAATAAACAATAAAGATAAGATAAAGTCACAAGTATTTCACCGTAAATAACTTTAAAACAGTTCACATCAAATCGATAACAATCGAACCATTATGAAAATAAAAATAGATTGAACATCTCAGTATTACTATGTAAAAATTATATGTGTTAATAATTAATTCATTAAATTATATTGTATAAACCTAATTAATTATACATAATAAGTTTTATACTATAGACATAGAGTATATTCTGTTTTATTACTCACAGTGCTATATTTTTCATGAAGGCGTTTAAAAATAAATATATATTTCAAATATTTTTGCAGCACCCTAAATTTAATCTCGCGGTACCTTATGGTGACGCGGCACCATGGTTGGGAACCTCTGGTCTAGAGACTTGGAGTATTACGCATAAAAATAAATAAAAACTAATTTTGAAAATTGAAAAATATTATTATTACTAACAATTATTTTAAGAGATCTTAATGATCGCGTGTAGCTAAAGGTTAACATTTTTTCCTTTATTTTTAAAACATACTTTTTCAAAAATATCTTGAAATTCTTCCATCTTCTTTTATTTGTCGATGTTCGTTCATAAATTTGTATTTTTGCTTTGTCACTTTATTTCTCTTTTGTATTATTCCTTCTTCTGAACTTTTAATTTTTATATATGTGTCAACTCATATATAACTAGCATTATCAAAAATAAAGGAACCTATATTACCGATATGTTTCGTTAAAACTTAAAAATACATTTGGATTTACAATTACCACTTTGTACGCAAGACACAACATTTTATAATTAATTAAACGATATACGTGCAAAGGTACACATAGTTACACATAGTTAGGTATATACGAGTATATATATATATATATATATATACATATATGATTTAGGTACTATAATAAATAGTATATATAGAAGTTAAATATATAAAATGAATTGCCGTAGTTTATATATAGACTTTTAGAAAAAGATTAATATTTCCGCAATTTACATATAGCCTTTTTTATAAATCGCATCTCAGTCATAAGTACTTAAGTTGAATAAAATTAAAAATAATTATTTTTTACGTTTTATAAATCATAGTCGTGTACTGTGAAGTATATAATATGTACATATTTTGTTTTATTCTGTTTAATATGTAGACCCACTTATCTTGTAAGTTACCATTTTATAAAACGCATTAATTACGGTATAAATTATTTATTTGTTGCAAAAAAATAAAAAATTGTTACTTAATGCATTGAAATATAATGGACCATGATTATACATTATATTATAAACGCTAGTGAATTGTTGGGCAAAATTTAAAAATTTATGTTGGTCGAATCAACTAAAAACCAAGAGTTATAACTTTATACTGAATACAGCTTTGTCAAATGATACGTAGGCTGTCCCATAAATAAAGTGCAAAAATATACTGCAAAATGAAAAATGAATTTATAACATTAAATTTTTTACACGGCGAAAAAGATATATTTTACTATTTTTCTACATTGTCACTATTCAAATTGATGCATATTTTCGAATGATGGAGTAACTTGAAAAACGGCATCTCGGAAATATTTTTTATCGAAGTGTTCGGTAACTGCGTGCATACGCATCATCAAATTTTTGATTTCATCATCATTTTCTTATCAAAAAATGAAAAAATAAATGCTGACCGATATATGGAAAGGTTAGAAAAATTGAAAGAAAAAATTGTTTTTAAGAGAAGAGGGTAATTTTGATCGAAAAATGCAAGACTGCTACCAGTGGCGGATTTTGAATTTTAACCGACCCGGGAGAATTTCGTTTTACCGGCCCAAAACACCATAAATACAAAAAATTTAATGGAAATGTAGGTAGTAAAATTAAAAAATAATAATAATTCTAGTTGGGTTAAATAAATGAATTAACATTCCTAATTTATAACTTACTTAAGTTATACAAGTATTATTAATATATGTTATTTGACATAAAATATTATAAAAAATTGTGATAGGTAAACAGTTGCAATATTTTATATAAATTACAAAATTCAATAAGGTAGAACATGCTTGGAAGTCAAAAACTTAATATGACAGTTTTTTATTTAAGAAATCACTACTATTTTTTATGATATCAATAATTTCTTCTGAGCCTATACTATGTAATATACTTTTTTCCACATTCATAAGCATAATGCTTCTAATTTTTCTTCACTCAATGAATTTCTTAGTCGTGTTTTGATTATCTTTAGCTTAGAGAATGACCTTTCACACGCTACCTGGTAAATCAAATTGTATCATATAATTAAGTATTGAAATAAGAATTATAAAATTTGAAATGTATATCACCTGTGTACATGGAAGTGTAAGCAGATACTTATAAGCAAGAAACAAAAAATGGTATGCATTACTGTACAAATTATACTTCAAAAGTACATTATAATAACAGTAAGGACAATTCTTGCAAGATTTGCAGTGTATTTCTTTAATATTTGAGCCCATTTCATCACTTATTTCTTCTTCAATATTATCTTCACTACATTTTTTATAGTATTCAGGTACAGTCTTTTTTGACTGATCCCAGGATGATGAAAAATTTAACAATTCATCTAACAATTTAGTATAGATCAATTTGTCATCAAATTTTTTCAAGATTTTGGAAAGCTCAAGTAGTGTATTTAATTTTAATTCTGTATCATGTATATCTTTAAAGTTATTTGGTGACAAACATACTAAATCACAGTACAGTTTTTTATTGGAGGAGAATCTTTCATCCATGCAAGATATTGTTTTGTCAAAAAATTATATTGTAAACTTCAACTGTAAATTTTTGCTCAGCATCAATATTGGTTGATCTGATGTCATCTGATCAGCCATCTTTTTTCATGCCTACATCTGATTTTTGGAAACTCTTTTTCATTTAAAATATCCATATTATGTTTATCTTCAAATGTTTTTTCAACTATAGTTATGAATTTATCTACTTCAGATTTCACATCTTTCATACTTCTCTGAATTTGTTTTAAATTATGTAAAGCTTCATTTACTAATTCTTGAGATTTTATCAAGTCAATTCCTGAGGTTTGTAGGTATCTAGATAAAGGTCCAACACTTTTAAAAATTTGAATGTAAATTAACGCTGTTAATATTAATTCATAACTCATAAATGCTTCTTTTAGATTTCTAGCTTTTGCTTTAATTTCAGAGTTAAAGTCAGGAGATGTTTGAATTGTATCTAATGATATTATAAGTTATATAAAAAAGTTATCCCTACCAAAAATAGTTTGTAAAGATTTTTCTTTTGGTCATCACCGTGTCATTCCAATAATTTTTTTTTACTATTTTCTCCTACAGTATTTTTCTAAACATTCATTCTTTTATAAGAGTCTTTAAAAAACACAACAACTTCATTAAATATTGAAAATAGTTTTACAGCAGGCAAAACAGACTTTGTAAAATCTATTAAGACTAAATTAAGAACATGACTGTAACACCAAACGTGTACTTGTCCTTGTGATGATTTAGTAAGCCATGAAGAAAAGCCATTATACTGACCTTGCATATTTGAAGCTCCGTCAGTAGAGTTACCAATACAGTTTTTTTATATCAAGTCCACTACTTAACAATTTATTTTCCAACATTTAATAGAAATTTTTTCCTTTGGTTACTGTCATAGTCACAACTGATAAAAGTTTTTCATGTACACCACTGAAATTCACATACCGTACAATAAATGAATATTGATCCTGTACTGAAATATCTTGGGTAGTATCCATCAGTATTGAAAACATAAGTGCCTCTAAAATCTGTGAAGATATGTTTAGGGTACTTATGGAATCAATCACCATATTGACCGTGGTTTTTGAAATGAAAGTAATCTTTGAAACTTTTCCTTAAATGTTCCCACTATTTTCTTTATGCTGAACCTTATTAATTTACGAATCAACATGTTCATTTAAGACAATATCATAATTTTTTAAAAGGAGCAATATTTTCAAAAAATTGCCATGATCTAAAATGGGTTTATTTAAAGACGAAGTTAATTCGTTTCTATGAGCTCGGTAACTCAGTAATCTCTTACCGATTAGTTTAACTATATCTATGATACGCTAAAGTATTTGAATATTTTTTTTAACTTCTTCTTTTTGTTTCTTCTTAAAATCAGAAAATAATAATATGTCAATGGTTTTGTTACTTGTATGTAAAAGATATGATTCAGAATAAGACATATGTGTTTTGCTAGCTTCATGTTCTTCTATACGTTGATATACATGTGTCCGAATTGATAAGCCTTTAGTGAATAGATTAGATTCTATAGAAAAAGCTAAGCATACACTACAAAACAAGCTTTTTGATTGGTTATCAAAACTTTCTCGGAGATACGTAGTACCAAGACAGTAAAAGTCGGTTAGCTTTTCAACTTAATATTGAACTGAGCCCCCTAACTGAGCCCAAAATTCAGATAATGGTTTGCTTTTAAATAATGTCTGATAGCAGCTATCCGAAATCATATCAATGAGAACTAGTGATGAGAATTATTCGAGTATTCGAATATCAGTATTCGATGCAACAATACAATACGTAACGAAAATTATTCGGTTAAGTTTTCGCGCAACACAAAACGTTTAATAATAATAGGTATTGTTCGGTCCTGTTACATATCAACAATAAGGCGTAGTTGGTAACACTACCTCGTGTCCTGGCGTGGATGAGTTGGTAAC